TAATATGGAGCTCAATGCCTAAAGACATGCAGGAAAAGGCCCCCCAGGCAAGGGAAATGGCTGGGGTGGATAGTTCCTTTTCAGGTCTTTTTTTCCAACTGTATGTAGAGAAATCACCATACAGGATGCTGACAGAGCCAGGGCTGTGCTAAGGTCATTACTTCAGCATGAATTCTTTGCCATATATCTATGGGTTTCTTTCTAGCAAACTGAGCAAGAGCCAACCAAGGATGATCATTCCTTCCATTGACTTTAACGTGCTTTTGATCAAAACCCACCAGGTAAACACTATAAAGTACCAACTAGCTCTGATTGCCCTCAATTCTCACTGAAATGTCACCAGCCAGCATCTCCAGAGGGGCTCCAGGTCCACTGTGACAGGCAACGAGTAATTTGCTTGTTTTTTTCAGGCGACACTTCCAAGGTCATCCGAATCATACGTGACTGGATGTCCATCTCTACAGACACAAACACCTCCTTATTTTCATGTTGGCCAGAGAAACATGGTCGATCAACCATGTCACACTCAGTGATAGACAACAACAACGAAAATTGGGTGCAATATTATGGAGTAAGCTTTCTATTTACTGTAGGGCTGTTACAGCTCCTAAAATATTCATTCAATTTTTAATAGGTTATCTGTTAAGCTAAAGAAGAAAAAAAAATGAGTGCAGTTCTCCGAAACTAAATAAACGCTCTTGCTGAATGGAAGCTTTAAATTTCAGAGTACATAGCTAGCTCTAAAAGCTGAAGTGTACCCATTCATTATTCATAACCACTTATAAATTTTAAGTAATCTGCTAAGAGTTATTACCTAACACTTGCTTTCCAGTGTCCAAAACATGCTTACTGCATGTAGGCAGTTAGTGGGATTTTCAGTGAGGCAAAGAAATGAGACCGATGCTCATTTAGGTGTTCTTTTAGGTGGCTGAAGCTAGGTAAGATTTGCACATTTATAGTCCACTCTTAGCAATATTCTTGGCAAAGACAAATGCAAAAGGACTACAGTACAAAGGGCCCCAAAAACCTACACGGTAGGGCTGGGTTGTTTCTAGGATGGCATTCAGCCACAGGTACTAAAGGTCCCAGCCTACCTGCTTCACCCTGGTCAAAGCACAAGCTGCACTGATCGAGACAAAGGCCTGCAGCCCTGGGCTTGGGCTTTTGGAGATGCATCCAGTCTTCTTCACATTTCATTCACTGCCTCGGCTGAGGGCCAGTGCTGACATTGCCAGGTGGATGTCCTTTGTTCGAGGGGAAAGACGGAGCCATATCTTGGGCAAGGCGCAGCACATAGACACCTCAGGGGACTCAAAACATTTCTGCACATTCTCTATTCCTTGACCAAAAGACAGCAGAGCTGTGGCCATCCGAGTATCTGTACGGGATGAGACAAGAGGTCCAACTGGGAGGTACTTTGCACCCGAGAAGGCAAAAACAGCACCTAGGAGTTAGGTGCTTCCACCCAGACACCCTTGTCCTCTTTGGTTGCCCTTTAATTCTCAGAAGTGTAAACAATGTTATCTCCAAACCTAGGATTAAGAAAGGAAGATAATCTGTCTCTCTCACACGCTCGCTCCCTGCCATGTCTTTTTGCCTTGGTCGAAAATCCGAAAGCAAGCCGAAAGTGCTAAAGAGAGAAGCAGCTGCACTGATGTCAGAGCTTCTCCGAGGACATTTCCCAACAGGCCTGGAAAAGGATTACACTGTAGCTGGTAACAGTAGGGGATGTTGATTTTCAAATCCCTTTTATTCAGCATTTATGTCAGCATTTTCATGCGTGTTACCACTGGGCTGAGCCCGACGTAAATCTGCTCTTGCCTCTCTTCTCATTAGCATGCACGAAGCCGACGTTAGCAGAGCGGGCATCCGTGCTGAGAGGCACCAATCCTTTTATACCGCCTTGGGAAGCAGACAGAGGGCAAGGTGACTGGACACAGCCAAGCACCTGGGCTTGGCGTGGCCACACGATGTGGCACGGGATGGGGCTGGCACGGTGCTGCCTGGAGGCAGGGCAGTGCGACAGCCGGTGTGTCAGGAGCTGCTGGAGGTACCGCGATTTCAGCCCTGGAAAGCAGGGCAGGTCCGTTTTCCAGCAGTGAAAATAACATTTCTTTCTTGCCAGCTTTGTCACCTGCTTCTACATCCAAAGCCAGAGAACAGGTGGCCTGGCCTTTTTGTTTTTCAGTCGCTGGCCCACATCAGCCCCACAGGAGAAGGGCCTCAGATCTTTTCCATTACCGCTCCGGATGGTGGCTGACTTCTGTAGTTAATAGACATCAATGTCCTAGCTCCTCGAAGGCAGCAGCAAAACAGCAAATGTGGAAGAACATAAATTTCTCAGCTGAACAAAATCCACCATTTGTACAGCTGAGCCGACGTTTCTTTGTAATATAGGTTACTGTGACAGCTCAGGCACATTTGAATTAAGCTCTGCATTAGCAGTCATGCTAAAGGACAAGCATTTCATGTGTGCCTGTCACTGCTCTCACTGGACTTTCTCTTTTTGTGCAGCAAAGCGACTGCAAGCAAGACATTGGAGCAGACTCCGCAGCAGATTCCACATCGCTAATGACACTGGAAGTCTGCGAAACTGGTGTCTATCAACAACATCGCTTGTGCTAAATTAATGACATGTACCAGAAGCAATGAAGATTGTTGCCTTGGTCCCATCTGGGTCCTGTGCTGCAGAAACAGAAGATGATGGAGCTTTTTGGGGAGAAATATTTGGTTCTCCAGCCAGATTTCTTATTTTTTTCTTTTATTTTTTGGTGGTGTTTTTTTATTCTGTTTTGTTTTTTGAATAAGCCACGGCACCAAGCCCCAGTTGCTTTCCAATTCTTCTTCAATCCTCTGGTGAAATGCTCAGGTGAAGAAACAAAGTGTATTGCAAGGAATGCTGCCTTGACATGAAAAGTGCAGTGCTCTCCTCCAGAGCTGACTTCAGAAGGTAGAAGTGGGAAGACCATGTCCCTGTTCGTTAGTGAGGTCAGAGTTGGCATATAGGTGGAAAATGCTTGAGATCCCAGTGTAGAGGTTTCCCCCAGCTTGTCTGGAGAACCAAGGCAAATACTTCTACCTGGATCCTGATGTCTTCATAGCTCCAAACACCTTGAAGAGAGATAATACAACAGGATGCTAGGGCGTCCCTCCAGACCCCTTCATGCTGTGAGCCATGCTGGAGCACTCCATTAAGCTGAGGACAGGGGAAGCTACCAAAGAGCTGGCAGCTTTGCTCTGCCTGTGACAAACGCTGAGCCCTCAGAGGTGTGATGACTGTCATTTAAGCGTCTTCTCCAGATGCCAGTGTTTGGCACTTCCTCCACAGTGCCGCCCCCATGTGCCCAAAGGTAAAGGAGCACCTTATAATTCAGATTGCCTTTTTAAAAGCAACCAGACTCACCCATCCCTTGGTGTTACTGGCTGCAGAAACTGTCCTGCCTTAGCTGCATTAGCCCACGGAACCAACAGGTTTGTACGGACTATATTTTGATCAGCTTATTTAATCGAGCTTCTGTGGTGGGGATGCAGCACCATCTTCTCACACCTTTTTTTCAGCCAAATCAGCAGAGCTTAGCTTCCCTCTACCCACAAGTTGAGCACAGAGCTCTATCCTTTGGTACCTGAACAGACTCCCAATTACCTTGCAGTCAGAAATATGAATTCTTCCAGCACAGTATGCAGTACATACAATAGTTTGGGGGGGACAAGCTTGCCCAAATGGCATCTCCAGAGAAACATAAACTCTCAGGTTAGCCTGCACAGGGTGGCCAGCATACCAACATCATCCTCTAGCTTCCAATATTGCTTTTTCTAAATTGCGTGTGATGTTCCCATCCTCCTAAGAGATTCAAGTGAAGGATGGGGAACCAGGACATCCAGATGCGTGTGTGGTGTGATGGTCCTGCTCATTTCCCCTCCAAGTCTGGGGGAAAAACCTGGGCACTATACATGTATATTTTCTTTCTCCTTTTGTACTCTTGCTGACAAAGCAAAACATCACAATACCAACCTGCTGGGATGCATTTTGTGTCAGTGTTATGATTTTTTTCTGAAAGTCAGTAGAATGGCCTCACAGTGTATTTGGTGCCAACCTCACTATATTACAGGTATGGGATTTCTTACTTCAGGAAAATGCCAAACATCCCAAGCAGAGATGCTTTACGGCAGAGCTGGGTGGGTTTGGATTTCAACAGCTGAATTTCAACTGCTGGTGGGTTGATGGTAGAAAACTTCAACTCTCTTTCTTTCCTTTATTAAAAATAAATGATTTAGACAGACATCACATATTACAACTCTTATAATACTTTTCTGGCTTCCTAACGCTGAAGCATCATCAGATTGACACTTTCCAATAACTTAACTGGTCAGCAAGATCAGCTTATATTTCTCTCACTTACAAATTATGTTCCTCCTTGCACAGTAAGTACATTCATTGCTTCAGACACTTTCACACTAAGACTTCAAGACTGATTTAAAAAAAAAAAAAAAAAAGATCTGGTTTCTGAGAGTATTTCGTCCCTCTGCAAGAAGATGCATTCAGCCCCTGTACCAGATGCGTTTCAGAAAGGGCATCACAGCAATGCTGTAGCTGGTAACATACTAAATGGTCTCAGTTGCTCCAGAAGCAGACTGCTGAAAAAAGGGTGAATTTAGCCCCCTTTTCCCATTTTTCCTTTGTTGTCACAAACATTCACGGAGCACAAGGTAAACTGGATCACAACACTGAAAGTCAGCCCAACCACATACAAAAGCTGGATGCACAGCCGCAGGGATGCTCGTGTTTGCACAAGACAGGGCTGGGAACATGCTGCTAAGGTGGCGTAGAGGGAGGGCTTCTGCACCAAAACCAATTTTTTTTTTGAAAGGAACTTGTATTAAAAACTGAAAAGCACATCCTAGAGTAGCTTCTGCTTGCTTCCCTAGCTAAGAAGGAAGACTGGATGCCTCACACCATAGTAAATACCCCAAGTACTGGATACGTCTGCCTATCAGAGCGATGGCACCACCTCGCTCAGCTGTACTGTGTTAGCTCTGTGGGGTTTAGGGACACCTGTCAGGTCAGGATCCACTAGCCCAGCATTAACTCATTTGTAATCCCAGCCCAGGGCCAAGGTTTAAAAGAGGCATGGAGCAGTTCAGTGCTTTTGGCTTTACCTGCTGGGTGGTGGAGGTTCAGTGCTGGTGAGACTTTACTGGCAGGTCAAGCAGATAAGGTAAGCACAAGGGTAGAAAGAAATGGGAGTTGAGCAAGTGAGTTAAGGCATTGAAGTTGACTTTCTGAGTATTGCTTACTCTGCTGAGGTTGTTAACTTTACTTTGGGATTTTTAAAACTAGAAATGTTTGGCCACTACCTGTGGCATCCAGCAAGTGAACGTTCATATAATGCCTGCCTAGGCAAATATAAGCTCTTCACCTTTTCCTTTTTGTGATGCTGGTGCAGGCACATGTGTATACCCAGTTTTTTTCATTGGGGGAAGAAAAAAATAAAATCAATTCTGGGTTAAAGAGGAAACATATCTAGCTCGGCTGGCATTGGATTTCTGGGTTTCCTTTCCCAGCTGACTCTATTTTCTGTTTCCTGTGTCCTAGTGAAATATCAATCTGTTTGCAATGGAGTGCATGAGGCTTTTCCTGCAGTTAAAAATTAATATCCTTCTGTTAATCAAAACAGAAACAAAAATACCTCTTCTAATATTAATGTTTATAATCTACCTTTAAAAATACATCTGTGCCCTCCCACATACACCCCCTCCTGCTTCTAAATTAATTGCTGGTGCTAACAGTGCCATCTCTTGCATGAAACCTAAAATGGAGTTTTCTGACCATTTATAGTCATTGTGATTCCCGGAGCATCCTCATAAAGCACGGGCACTCCAAAATCTGATGTCTAGCCACATTTTTTCCCCTTCCGCTTCATCTGGCTATCAAGTTGTTTGTCAGTTTCTGCCTGAAGATTTATGGTTCTGAGCGCTGTTAATTGTGCTCTGCCTCAGAAGTAATCTGTGCTGTAAGGTGAGCAACATGGCTTCCTATAGAAGTTCATGGAGAACTGAGGGGTGGGAAGGATGGCACTGCATAAACAGCAATTATTCACTGGAAATACCTCCTGAAGAATAGCAGGAGTGCTCCTGCTTGCAGTTGTTGAACCTCTATAAAAACAGATACCCTATTTTTAATGCGAGCTTGTGTAATTACAATGAAAGATGAGGCAGTGAAAACAAAGTGTAAGGAAATCTCTCTAAATAAGAGACTGCAGAGGGCCGATATGTTAAATGCCAGGAGCACTCATTGAGAGAATAACCTCTTTTAAGTGCTAAGTGTGCTTAAGCAGTAAACCATCGATGTCCTTTTTGTTTGTGAGCATTAGTTAATAACACAAGATGTCAATGTTGAAATTGGCAGCAGAAAGCCATGCCCGAGCCTGTGCTTTAGTCACCAGACTCTGTGGCTCCCTGCTGTGCAGATCAAGATGCAGGAGGGGAGCTGGGTGCTGCAGTGCTCGGCTGCCATGGCCCTTAGGGCACAGCCCAGGCACCTGGGCTAGATTTAGCCTCTCTGTGCAGCATCTGAGGGGAGATAAAGGGCACAGAATTAAATCTGCAGAAACCAGCTCATTGAGTGAGGGTCAGGAAGGAGCTGCTGAAAATCTGGCAAGTAGGAAGCAGTGGGGTGAGTGTGAGCCCTCTGCCCTGCCTGTGCAGTCACAGCATGTAATCAGGTTCATCTTCCTTCAAAGGTCAGGAAACCAAAAGATGTCAGGAGGTGGGAGACTTTAACAGAAAAGCAGTGGAAGAGAGACTTTAAAAGAAATGTGGACCATTTCCTCATGTTGGGTCCCAACATGATCCCACAGAAGGATGCATCCTACACATGCGTTGCTGTTAGATGCTCTGCTGGATGCAGGTGTGTTGCTATCCCTACATGAAGCATGCAAGCAATTGTTTTTCTCCCTCAATGTAGCCAAAGAGGATTCTCCCTAAAAGAACACCTTGTGCTCACACTGGTTGTGACATAGGGGGATTCAGGTACTTTGAAGAAAGCTTACTACTTCCCCTCTGGTCAGGGTGAGGCAGGAACACAGAACAGAAGTGCTTCAGTCAGGCACAAAGAGAAGCAAAATTAAGACTGGAAATGCATAATGTGCAAGTTCAAGTGCCACCCACATAGGGATGCAGTTGTTATTCTCATTCTTAATCCCTTCTGTGGAAAAGGCAGTAGGATAGGTCTGTCTTTGGAGGGGTTTATTTTTGCTTATGGCTTCGTACAAGCAGCACTGTGAAGATCTCAGGTTTGGGGAATTGTGCTAAAGGCATGTATTATCCTCCTTTTCTCTCGAGGAAAGCAAAGAGACCAGGGAGGGCTGGTGAGAAGGGGTATTGAGCTGTGCACTTCCGCCTAATTGCCACTGTAGGTGCTCCAGCCTGTTACTGGATCTGCCTAGTCCCAAGCCTCTGCATCGCGAGCCTTCTGGCAAGTGTTCCACTGCTCTTCTGTGTTCTGCCAAAAGCTTATTGGATATTAATGTGCCTTCCTGTGGCTTGAATGAACCTGCTCCCTTCAGTACTTTAAAGAAATACAGGAAAACCACTGATCCCATTTGCTTTCAGCATGCCAAATGTCTCTGCTTCCCACTGAAATAAGTCTGAGGGCTGCGAATCCTCACTGCTTCTCTCAATGTTTCACCAGAGACAAGCATTATCAGATGACCTCTGCACTGACCATTGCCACAACTGGTGCAGAAGCTAATTACTGGGTGTGGAGAGTCTCTTCCATCTTTCTGCTAAAATCAGTCAGGATCAGAGCTTTAGGTAAAGATGAATGGCTGAGTGTGGGGTTTTCCCTGTCCTCACAAGGAGTGCAGAGCACATCCAGCATCCCCTGTGGCCCTGGCAGGCACAGGCTGCATGAACAGCACTCTGCTATTCTGCTCGTGCCCAGTTTCTTATGAGACCAAGCTCTGAATGTCCCTGGCTGCTTTTCAGTCAGCAGTCACCCCTTCAATAGCTCTGATCAATGGATCACACCAAGCTTTTGCTAAACTCTCGCTTCGTGGCTTCCAGCTCGATGCTGGGCTTGTTGTACAGTGACTGCAGTTGTTAAAGGCCTCTGTCCTGGAGAGCACATTCTTCTCTTCATCCTTAAACCCAGCAACCAGTGTCATGGTGATGGTGAAGTTGACAGCCAAGCCTGTAATGCTAAATGGAAGTGGAAGGGTAGCATGTGCTCACCCACTTTCAGGAGTAGGAGTGTCCAGCTGTGATGGAGGGCTGACTGAGCCAACAGCCAGAGCACAAACTGGTGCTTGGCCTTTGGGCACATGATTTAGTGGCTAGGATGTGTCTATCTGTAACATTTTCAGTGCTCTTTGGATCCATCCAGCTGTTTAAATTTGACTTCCAAGGGTATGGTGGCATGAGCTCTTCTCATCTTCCATTTATCCACTAGGCACTGTCCCCCAAGTATGTTTAGACAAGGATTGGTCAACTGTACTCTGACAAATGCCAACTTGTTGGCTTTCACTGTGTATCTTCAGGGCCTCTCTCCTTCCTTGTGGCTTATGGAAGGAGCAGATTGAGCCAGAGCTGACTTGGTGAGCTCTGCAGTGTTTAAGGGTACCAGCCCATGGTGGTTCAGTTTGACTTTTCTTTGAAATTCTAGCAAAGTTGGTGAAAAGTACTTATGAGCTTAAATATTGCAGTGCTCGCAATTTGAAGGATGTGAACTTCTACCAGTCCTCAATTTTCCCTTCTGTCTGCTAGGATAGTTAATCACATGTAGTTTAAAAGTATCGCCAGGAATTATAAAGAGAAGGTATTTCCCTTTTTAAATAAGGCTGGCAGAAGGGCAGGGGTGAAACGGCTTGTCGGGTCAGTAGTGGAGCTTTGCAATAAGACCTACTTATCTTGCACAGTGCTGTAATGTTCTCGGCGTTTGATTCAAGCCACCCTCATCTACTGCTGTAGTTAAGTTCAACTTCAGTGAGAACCTCATTCTTAAATGTTTGCAACAGTATAAGTAGTGTGCTGCATTAGAACTGTAAATCAAATGCTGCTCTGAAATTATTTCAAGAGAAAGCTTCTGCTTTTTTTTTTTTTCCCCAGCACAATCTAAAAGCTGTATTGATGTCCTGTCTACCATCTGTTTTACATATGAACCTTGTGACTCCTAGTCTTTCAAGCTCATTAATTAGACCAATAATAAGCATACCACAGCAGCTCTGAAGTGAAATGCTGGTGGCACATCTCTGTCAGCATGGGCTTGTTCTTTTATTTTTTTCCCCCTAACTCTACAAGTGAGTGCTAGTTCCCTGAATGGGGAACCCTTCTGTGATCAGTCACTTCCCTTTCTTAAAGAAATGGTGCAGCAGTAGCTATTTGCATTTCCCCTTGAGTTCTCACCTGTTGCAGGTGGAACCTGAGCAGGGAAAAGCTTTTGTGTGTTTTTTCTCCCTTGCTGCAGCATAGGCCAAAGAGGGATTTTCCAACAACACCATGCTTCCTCTGAGCTCATCAGAAGCTCAGTGCCCGAAGGCTGCCAGAAATAAACTGCAGGCACCAGCGAGAGCCTCCACAGGCAGCCTCGGTAGATCATGTAGAAGGCTGTTTGAAGGAGATGCAGCTCTGGGAAGCAGAGGTCTCCATTTGGTATGCAAGTCACGTGCTAGATGCTGGACTCCTCTATTTCCATCCACTGTCTGCTTCTTAAATCCAGTTTTAGCATTGCTTACACGCAAATATGAGACAGTAAGAAATGTGGAGCACCTGCCCACTACTCCCATGCCTCCCCTCCAGCTCCACCTTGCAGGGTAAAGCTAAATGCATTACTTTCCAGTCTGAAATAGAGGTGCTGTTCCCTTTTGGTGCTGTGCCACCACCTGGGCAGGGATGCTCGCTTCCAGGAGACTGCCACACCTTGCTGGGATAAAGGCAGGCATGGGCAGCTGGGGGTGGCAAGCCAAGGATGGGCTCGGATCTTGTTTATGGGTGTGATAGTGTCCCCAGCGACCCCAAGGTGTAAATCAGTTGGCATCTCCCTAAACAGATGCATGAAGTACTGAAATGAATGTCTGCTCTAAAATGCCATCTGATAAGCACGCCTTTTCCTAGAAAGAGTCTGTGGCCAGGCAGCTCCCTCCTTCCCAGCCGAGGGAGAATGCTGCCCTCTCTTGGCTGCGGAGACGAGTGAGGTTTGCCACCAGAAACTACCCCACAGGGGCTGTTGGTATGTTTGGCCACCAAAATGACACCTTAATCCTGGGCATGCAGGAGATGGCAGCTCGCAGGGAGCCTGTGGTGTAGCATCAGGATGTAGATCCCCAGCTCCACAGCAGTGAGGCTTATCTGGTGCAATGCACAGGGCTGCTGGCAGGGTGTGGCACCCAGCGAATGCGGTGTTGGGGCTTCTCAAGGGTTGATCACCAGGGGAGCAGATTTACCTTCCACTTCCCAGCAGAGTCTGAGGGTGACAGGACTTCTGTCATTCAGCTGCTTGGGATTTGTTTAACACTTAGCAAATTTCCCTCCTAAATTGCCTTCTGCAACTCTTCTGCCTTATGAGGGATAGAAGCCAGCCCAGGCAGTTTGAGCACTGCTTTGCTCGTCTTTTGTTTCCTCTGCTAGGCTGCTCTCAACCCTCATCCCTTCAAGATCAGATGAAGAGTATGGTTCCCTTTGCTTCCTCTCCTAACAGCACGGCTGCAGAATGGCTTCAAGCTTCCCTTTCTGCACAAGAGGGGGCAGAGCTGCACAGTGGTGACAGCTGGCTGGAATTAAATTTCTCACTAGAGGTGAGCAATGCTAATGAACATGTCAAGAACCCCCTGTGAGTGGACAGCAAGCTCAAACCTGAGATGATGCTATCAAAATGACTCTCCCAACGTGTGTCTCGATGGAGGAGTTGCTGTGGCTTCTAAGCTCAGCCTGAATAAGGTTAAGCTACCTGTGAGCCCTGTGCTGCAGGAACGCAGCTCATCCTTGCCCTCAGCACCAGCTCTGAGGGCTCTACCACAAGAAGCAATAGTGGACAACTAAATATGAAGAAGGTTTTCCCAGCGGTGACAGCAGAAGGGAATCGAGGAGGCAATTCTCCATTTCAGAATGCCACAAGGCTTGGCAACCCCAGTTTTGGAAGAATACCCTGGAATTGACAACGCCACCACGTCATGCCCTTGCTTTCCGAGAGATCATGGTGGATCGGTGGCTCTGCAGTGATTCAGAAGGAACACCGCCATCTAGTGCGCTTTGAACACAGCACTCCTGTACCACTGAAAGCAACGGGATGTGGGGCTGTGCGTGCAGAGGCTGGAGGCACTGATCGATAGCAGGAGGCATTGTGTTCTTGGTGTGTGAAGAAAAGCTGATTTAACTCACTGGTGATCTAATTATGATGTGGGGGTGAGGGGAAAGAACAAAATCAGATGCTACTTCTAACTTATCTTGCATTAGCAATCCTTTAGCTGGAATCTGTGGGTGATCTACAAAGCCTGCTTCCACAAGCTCTGTGAAAGGAAGTTTGTGTGCTGCCTTAGTGATGTCTGATCCTTACCTGCAGTGAATAACCTGCCAGGATGGGGGCATCCTCCCCTACCTTGTGTGCCCACTTGCCCCAAAGCTGTTCCCCAGCAAGAGAGTGACAGCTCTAAGGACTCCTCTTGTCTGAAAAGCTGGAATAAATTGCATGGACCTCTTAAAGAGAAAACCTGAAGGGCTGTATCCAAACAATTTATGGATTAGAAAGCCTCTGCAGATTTCTCCTTGTTCAGGACCAGCTACCTCTCATCCTAGCACGTTATGTTGCAGGATGGCAAAATCCTGCCTGTCCTGGGGCAGCTGCATGGAGCTCTGCATTGTGTGGCTTTTTGGGGGGTGTCTCTGATGGGGAATGAGGTCACAGGCTGCCAGAGGTGATCCTCAACAAGGAGTCAAGCAGGCTCATCTTATCAGACACATTACAGGTAGTCCCCTGCTCCATTTCCTTAGTGCCAGGTGAAATAATGTTCTGTGCAGCTACAGGGATGGCTTAGTCTTCCAGTGGTAGGGTTTTTTGTAATGTGCCCAGCTCATCTGACCTGTCAGGAGACAGTTCCCTTGCTCAAGGAAGGAAAATGTGACAGTTTTTTGCTCTCCAGCCTCTCCCATGTAGGAAGGAGTGATCTCTCCCTCCCCATCCTGCCTCTGAAGTAGGTGAAAGTTCTTCCATGGAGGATCGTGACCCTTATGGAGGTTGTAGGAGGATTCAAAGAGAACCAGTGTTTATGCTAGCCTTGAAATGGCTAATTAGTTTTAATTCTTGGCAGCAGCTCAGAAACTACAGCTGTTTCTCATGTTCCTGCCCTGCAGCAGTGAAGCTGTTGCCTGCAGTCGGGGTAGCTAGCTGTTCCTTCCTGGTGCAAATGTCTTCAGCCAGTTCTTACACAGCCATGGAGAGGGCTGAGGGTCACTTTTTTTTTCTTAAAATGAAAGGAAGATGTGTTCAAAACAGCTGCATTTGTGTGTGGGCAAGGAGGGAAGCTATGAAAAGACCTAGGTCAAGCAATAGATTCCTCACTTCCCCATTGCTCTTGGTTAGTGAAGCGTTGCTGCAGAGCTGGGTTTCTGTTGGCGATCCCTCCCAAACCATTAGATCACCTTCCTGACTTGGTCTTCTGACTCAGGTATAGCTACTGGATGTCAGTGTAAGCTTTCAGACTTTTTTTTTTGTGCCAGGAAGTGCACCCAATTTGTCCCACAGCAGGTCACTCAACAACGTGTGAGCACGCTGTGTGGATTGCTTACATCCTGACCAGGCTGGTGGCTCTGCTCCTAGTCACAGCAGAAGTATGTGCTTACTTAGCAACAAGCAGCTGATGAATTAATCTGATCCCTCCACTAGATGGGATGGCAGCACCATAATTTCGAAGCACTTATGGTTAAAATGTGAAGTTCCAGCACAGCCTGCTCAGTGTGACGGGTTCCCGTGCCAGACACCACTAGCCAGGGGCTATGAAAGGTGAAAGCACTTACTTCCAGATCCTCCCCATCAGAAAGGGCACAAAAAAGGAAATGATTCAGCGCCCCAGAGCCATGATACACAGATGACTGGGGCTGACATCATCCAGCAGTCAGGCAACACGGTGCCCCTGCAACCCTGGAGGTCATATCCTAATGTGAATGTAAGTGAGGCAGTGAGCAGAGGCTGAGAGCTGTCACTTCTGCCTTGTCACTATACGCAGCGTGTGCTGTTAGCTGTCCAGAGAATGGAGATGAGCTTGTTCTGGGAAGTGGTAAGAGCTAACACTTACAGGTCTCTAGCTTTAATACTCTGTGCAATCTTATTCCATTATTGCCAGTATGGTAATGTTCACCCTGCCCATAATTGCAGTTCTCATTGTTTATCCCAGAGTAATGCTAGCAAATAGCATATGACTTAACAGCTCTATTCTTCTTGCTTCGTGCTCTTAACTGTGGGCAGAAGTTTCAAATATTACTGCTTTCTGATAGAAAAAGATGCAAAGAGCAAGTTGTCCAGGGACTCCCAGCAAGTTGACAGCACAACAGAGCAGTACCTGTATATTACTGATTCCCAGCCTCCTGAACAATATGATCAGGGCCCTTCATTACATTAAACTCCCCAGGAAGCCAGACAGACCCTTTAGAAAACATCTTGGGTTCTTATCTTGATGGTGCAGTAGACTAGACATTGATTGTCTTGAATCTAATTTTTAAGGTACATTTTTAATGAAATGTGAAAATCAAGTCTTGTTTATAAAAATATAATACAGAACTTAGTGCTCAATATTTTAATCTTTTTACTTTTGATTTTCAGAATGACAAACATCTTTGCCCTGACACCACTTAAAAGGGTTCATGTATTGTCCATCTAAACTGGATGGTTGAGTCGAAGGCAACAGGAGTTTGTGGGACTGGGGAAGGTGTGAGGATTAAGTGAGGTTTCTGGTGGTACAAGCATGAGTTGGTTAACAGTGAAGTGATTGTATGCTTTGTAATTTAATGCCTAGCATGTTCCAGAGTTAATGTCCCCTGGAGAGGAACTGAATATTTGTAATTCCCCCCAGTCTAAAGCCTCAGAGGCCACAGAAGCAGTCAGGCCAATGCTGCATCAGGTACATTCAGCTGATGCTTTCAGTGCCTCCCTGGTAACCCCAAGGACTTGCATTCTCAAGCATGGTTTCATGGCAAAATAAAAATGTTATTCCCAGAGAATCAGGGAAAACTGTGGGCCCTCTGTCACATCTACTTTGAGCTAAGGGCCTCTCGACTTTATAGTGGTACAGCTTTGAATTTCAGTTGTTATTCATGGTGTTTGTTGCAACCACTGACTGTCACTTACCTGAACAACAGCAGCACCTGTGTATAAACATCCTGACAGCACTGTCACATACCGGATCCTGTGAAGAAGGCAAAATCTCTGTTCTACGCTTCTTTTCTGCCCCACAGTGTAAACTCCACTGAAAAGCGCTGGGTTCTCTCAGTGTATTAAAGACACTTCAATTCCTGTGGGACAAAGAAATATTACAGGGTCAGAAATGTAGGTATGAGTCTCCTGGGCATCACCTTGATGTGCTAGCACTGCTCCTTCTTAGCAATAAACACAGCAGCAACTGAAAGGGCTAACTCCAATGACTCCTTGTGCTTCTGCTATGCCTGGGCTGAGTGCTATCTCACGCTGTTGCATGAGGCTGTGCTTGCCTTGGCTCCTGATTGTCCATCTCAGAAGGCCTGTGGGTCACCTTTGTGAGCTGCCACCCTCGTTATTGCTTCACGTGTTGTGTATCCTTCTTGCTTTTGTGCTTTGCTGGTGTCAGCATATTTCTAAGGGGACAGCGTTTTGCTCCCATTGCAGGCCATGCTTACCCTGGATCAGGCAATACCCACCCTGCCTGGGGTGAAGCAGCTAAGACAGATGCTGGCCACCTTGCCTGTTGGCATTATTTGTCTAGCAGTGATGTTCAGAAACTGTGTTCCACAACAAGGGCCTCATTTAACAGACAATAACACACAGATAGTTCCCACCCACAGAGAGCTCACTGCCTAGGGTTATGGAAAAATATATCAAGCAGAGGTCAGAGAATTGTAAAGGGCAATAATGCAACACCGGCCACCCTGCTTTCCATGGGCCTCTTGCCTCAGGGGTGACAGTCAACCTTGCCTGCCTACAACCAGCTGTCTTCCTTAATACATACATACACACATGTGTGCACACATGCAGGCTGCACATAAATTAAACAGCCTTTGGAGTGCTAACAAACAGCAAATGCTAAATTCAAGCCAGATGTGCTCCCCTCCCTAGACACCAGCGAGCAGCTTCGGGCTGGAGCTCCATGCTGGTAGGAGGTGATTTGGAAAGCAGGCCTGGTGGGAAGGCTCCAGCTCTTGAAATCCAGAGGAACCCTCAAAGGCCTCACTTCTCCTACAGCTTAGCAGAATTCTTGGACACAAGCTCTGCTCTAAAAAGGGGAGAGTCTGTTGTCATGTCCTTGAACTTTTCTTCCCAAATGTATCATGCTAAAGCAAGTAGGTGAGGGGCATTTATGTATATGGTACGGGTTACGTTCTACTTGGATGTTTGGAAAACAAAGGTGTGTAAGTCTTTAGGGTGTGACAACAAAGAGGATCCTGGTCTTCTGCATCCAATTCTGTGTAGGCATCTCCTGGGGCCTTAGACCTTCAAAGCTTTTCCCATTAACATCAGCTCTGAGTCTCATTCACTGTAGCAGACAACTGAGTCAATGCAGGGCCGAGCAGCTGGAGCTCCTGTGTGGGTTGCAAGATGCACTGGAAAGCCCGCTGCAAAGCATCCAGCTCTGTGGCTTTCAGATGGACGGTGAGCCTGGAGAAAACATCAGTGGCCTTGGCACTCAGAGCGAGTGCCTGTGGGAAAGGAGCGATTAGAATGGGCTCGTGGATTAGGAAACCTTCTGTGAACAAATTTGGAGTTGCCCTTGAAGTGATATTTCTTCCATTTCAAAAGACTGCTGCTTCTGAGTTGTCCCTTTTGATTAACTAAGAATTGCATCAGTATCCGCGTTATTATTACTAAATAAAACTGTTTGAGTTTCAGTCCATAAAGTTTGATCAAATGCATTTTACTATTGCTGTCTAAACATTTCATCTGGTTAATGTCTAACTCCAAGTATTTTTTTAATATTTGTACTTACTAAATTATTCGGAGAGAAGCTACTGATCGCAGGCCAACTGCTGATGTCATTTACACCAACAATTAGCCCAACATTGCTCAACTGCTGTCAGGTGCTGCCAGGGTCTGAGGCTCTCATGTTCTCCCTCCTTTCTCCCAACAGGTGGCAGTCTCTTGACTTTTTTCCCCCTCTCGGTTTTCTTTCTTTTTTTTTTTTTTTTTTTTTTGTGGTAAAAGGCAGCATAGAAAACACCCCTATTGTATGTTTGTCTCGAGAAAGAAGATTTTTTTTTTTCCCTTTTGTACCCCTTGATTTAACTCTTCCTTGTCAGGCTAATGGCAGTGGGAGGGAAAAGCCAGTCCCTGAAGGCCAGAGAAGTAGAGGAGTGGATTTCCCTTTTAACACATGAAATAATAGTGAAATAATAGGGATGGTTTCACAGTCAATATGTCATGAAATAGCTGTCAGAAGTCTGAGTCAAACATAATGTGAATGTTCACAGAAAAATGAGGCAAGCCCAGCTATGACATGTTTTGGGGGCACAGCTATCTATTGCAAACACTTCTTAGAAATTTATTTTAAAAAAAAAAAAAACAGCATTGAGTGGCTAAAAACCGCTGTCACCTTCCACACAGACTTTCAAAGCCTTGTTACAGATATGAATTAAGGCTCATCGGCCCTGCAAGGCACGAACTAACGAGTCTCTTACAGCTGGGGAAGCTGAGACACCAGAGGTGGTCTATGCACAGTATTAGCACTAGGTGTAAGTATTTTGGTGAGGGCTGAGATCTTTTTATCTTGGTGCTATAACAGTCCACTCCCCACTGTGCCAGCAGTTATAATGGTACAAAGGTACATTATAGTGGTAAGATTATTCCCTTTGCCCACATGAACACATTATTCTGATAAAAGTACTTTAATACCAATCTAGTTGTGTTAATACTAGAGTTTGTACAGCTTTACTGAACTGGTACAGTTAAAGCAGTACAACCTTGGCATATAGATAAGGACTAAGTATCTTATCCAAATATATGGAGCAAGTAAATGACTGATCTGGGAATAGTACACAGCAGTCTTCCTTCCCAAGCTGCTTTTCAGATTGCCTGAAACCATTCTGTTCACATTTCTCCTCACCAGAGGGTAACACAAAGCATCATTGTTTGTCAAAATGTCATGGCTTAAAAAGAGATGCCACCCTCTTATTTATAAAACTAAGTGGAAAAAAAACATTCAAGAATGTCTTCTTTCCATCTTCCTTCCAGTGATACCTGACGTTAGTAGAGCCTGGTGATAGATGCTTGCCCAGAATTACTTGTGAAAGGTTTGTTGTTGGTTTTTGTTTTTTTTTTTCATACGTTTACCAATATTCATCCCAAGTGGATGCTTAAAACAAAACATTTTCACAAAAAGATTCACCTTTCCAGCTGTCAGGTGGATGTATGACAGTGGCTTAACACAGTGCATCCATCTACCTTAGAGTTGCACGGTGGTACTGCTCCGAACTCATGAAGTAGTAGAAATGGCTCCGTCCCTAAGGCATTTCAGGAAGCCTCAGATCACTCTGGTTTCTTTGCCCTGTAGGTGTCTGACACAACCTGCTGGGTCCTGCCATGGGGACAGCCAGAAGGTGTCAGCCAGATGTTTTATTTCTGATTTTGCATCTCCATCTGAGCCACCGCATCTGTCGCTGTTGTAGCATTCACACAATGCACGATCGTGCTGTTGTCCTCCACAGATTAGCCTTCCTGAGTTGTCTTCCTCACATGTTCACTAAAATGTGTCTTCCTTCTTTACCACTCAAGAGTTTTATGGGCAGTGTGGGCTAGAGGTGGAGTTCTTCTCTGTGAAGACGAGCAGAAAGCCCCCCAAAGCACCAATAATGTAAGGGTTGCTAGAGCAGGCATAGGCTGATCTGAAAATGAGCCAGACTGGAAGATGTGGGGTTAGTCATCAAGCTTGAATTAAATATCTCTAAAGTCCAGTTTTGTTTTTTTTTTCTTTTAAGTCTACTTTCTGTGGAAAAACACTCTGCTAATTCAGTATTTCAAGACAAAAATTAATTTTGAATCATCCGGATTTCCCTTGGGAGGGAAATTCTGCTTTTCAATGAGCTGGAAGTGATGTATCTTAAAATTCCCAAGCAACAATCTTATATTGGTATTTTTAATTCTGAAGGCCATTCCCATGAGTTTCTAGTATTTTTAAAGTAGGTCAGATTCTGAACACAAAAAAGCTAAAGAGTTATGCCCCTTTCATCTTTTCTTAGGAGCAATAAGCCTTTTTGGTATTATTGCTGGCTTAAATATTAAACAGGAAGCAAATTACATTTCCAGTCATTAAAGTACAATAGAACAGCTCTATTGTCTGAATCAGTGCAATATTAGGCCAGATTGTCACAGAATGCTCAAGAATGAAGTCATATTGTAGGAATGTAATAAATTAAACTTCTTGTGCTTTTACTGTGAGTTCTGCCTGACGAGAGATTACTTCTTCATTCCTGTCAATGAAGAGAAGAAATTTGGGCCCCAAAACTTGAACGTGGTAAGCAACTATACAGAATTTGATATTCACACACATTTAGTACAAAAATGCAACCCATTCTGATGTTGCTCTTACAAGACTCTAAGCTTGCCAATCTTTGTACTGTGTGACCAGAAAACTTATTTTTAAGATCTGTTTTAAATGACTCAATAAATAGAGGGATTTGCATGGGTTTGAAAGGAGTTGTGCTCTGTAGGGCTTTAGCCCCAAGGAAAGCTACACATGGGAAATTGTCCCCTTGTTGTAATGCTCCTCTGGTCAAATGCATGCCTGTAAAATTGTAACACTAGGAAAATCCTGAAGGATCTTGCAGGGAAAATAGCTGACAGTATCTGAGAGCTGCTGCCTGGTAGCCTCCCGGAGGTGGTGCCCTGACTATTTACTACCTAAACTAAGCAGAGGATGGAAATTGGTGCTGCTTGGAGCAGCACTGTGCTCCCCCTGAGCTGACTGACAGCATCCTGTCCCTAGGTAAAGCAGAAATTGCTGGCTGTTGCCAAAAGACGTGGATTTTTGGGCTGCCTTCTCCCAGTGGTGCGGTTCCCACCGAGGCAGTGTGCCACTCCAGGTCTTCCCTCCTTACCTTGGACAGCTGTCCAGACACAGTCGTTGGCCCCCAT